AAAAAAGAGAAAAAAAATAAACATTATCAAAATTTTATTTCCTGAGAATAATCATGAGTTATGTTCATAAAATAAATAGAATACATTGAAGAAGAGATTTCACAAGAGAGAGTTTTTTTAGAGACAAAAATTAAAGTCACATTTTGTACAAACCAAAAGTAAAGATGGTGTTGTTCCATCATCATTATGCCATAATGTTGAATGTAATTTTGTTTCTTTACAATGAGGCATTGTTTGTCGATGATAATTATGAATTTCATCTAATGAGCCCATTTTAATCTGATGTTGAAATGAACATTGTCGACAAGTAATTGGATGTTGAGATGAAAATTGAAAAAGTGAATCACAGGAACAAACTGGACATTGAGTTTGATTAAATTCATCAATTGATGGTACGTATTCTGGTTGTTCATCAGGTATTGATTGTAATTGTTCTAATTCAAGTTCACGACGAATTTCATTCATAATTGCCAAATTAGCTTCGAATTCAGCGTCGTCACCATCCATATCCATAGATGCTGTAGATGGTAATGAACCAAACATTTTTATCCATTCTGATTCAACAATATCACGAGCTGATAATGTTGGTTGATTATCATCAAACTAAAAATGAAAATAAATATTTTTAAGAAAAAAAAATGAATTTATATTTACAGAAAGTTGTCGCATTTTATTAACAACTTTATCACGTGATCGTTTAAATTGTTGTTTACAATGAAGTCGATAACGATCTTTCCATGTTTCATCACAACGAACAGTTGGTGAAGGCATTTTATATAATGCTGCATGAGCTGTTTGACGAGCTGGTGAAGGAGGAAATGTTGACATTCTTATAGAAAAATCTAAAACTAATTCAATTATAAATAAGTTTGAAGTCTTGCAAAATAAAACAAACAAAAATTTTGATCTTTGCCAAAAAAGCAAATTATTATTTTTTGTCAAATACACCACAAACTCACAACAATAAAACAATAATGAGTAAAATTAAAATGACTGTTTGACTAGATAATTGATAAATATTTTGATTAGATAATTGCACAGAAAAAAGAAACATTTAAATTTGAATTTTCATTGGCTTTGGTAAATTTGTTTTATGTTCTAATAACATATCTGTATCCATAGCAATACCTGCACATGCTGATAATATATTTGTTATACAACGATGTTGTTTAAAAAGTGCATTTATAACTGGTGTACCTGGTGGAACTAAAGGAGCTTTGAGAAGATAAGATAATATTGCTAAAACGGGTTCAAATGATTGATAGTCTTCTTTATCATTTGTTTTATATGTAATACGTGTCATTAATTCTGTTAATATAACAAGATCAATAATTAATGGTGAAGCTAAAAGTGAATCTTCACATGTATTATGAATAGCTATTGTACTAAGACCATTCATAAATATTGATGATATATATTCATCCATAGCTCGTTTAGAATCTAAATGTAAGAATATTTAAATCTAATTTAATAATATAATCCTATACCTTTAACGAATGGAACATATTTGATGACAACAACATGATCAGGATGTTCATTTCTTTTTTTATTATATAATAAATGATTAGCACCAACCATATCATCAACAACATTTGATTTACTAATTTCTTTTGAACGAAATTGTTGTGGTGCACTTAAATTTTTTCCATCATTATTACCCAAATGATTATATGAAACAATGGATTGAAGTTTTAAACCAGCTGAAACAAGAAAATCAGCAAGAACTGATTTAAGTTTTGTTTGTCCACTTTTAAAATCATCACCACCAATAAAAACTTGATGTTTTTCAGCAAGTTCAATTAAACCTGGTACTAATGTATTTTGTGGACTACCATTTATATATGGACAATCTTCTAAAATAGCAGCACAAGCAAATATATTTGATGGACTTATTTCATCATCATTGGCTGCAATTGATTGAAGAATTTCATCACCTGTTTGATTTAAACCTTTGCGAACATCAGTATAACGTTCAGTATTTGCTGTCCATAAAACAATAACTCTTTCTAAATTATGAGCTTTTTTAAAATTTCGTATATCATTACGTATATGTTCTAAATCTTGTTGTTTTGTTCCTTTTGGAATTAAATTATTAGCACGATCTTCTTGGTTTGCTGCAATAAAATCTGGATAATAAATTGATGGTAATGGTTTAAATTCAGTCATTTTTGTTTTTAATTTTTCTTGTAATGAATAATCAAATACACAAGCACGTTTCATTGATTCATATAAATTCGCATCATTTATATCCCATCCACCAATAATAATATCATTTGGATGTAACATTGGTAAAATTGTATTAAATGGAATATGAACTTCTTTACCTTCATTATTACTTCCAATACGAATGGTTGTCGATTGAGTTAATGAACCATAATAATTTGGAAATTGTTCACCCTCTACAATTCAGATAATCATTTAACGCAATATTTAAGAAAAAAATAGCACACAGTTGCAAGCTACAATGGAAGTGGTCGAAAATCATTAATTTTAATGCACGCTAGAAATGTCATAATACGAAAGTCTTTGTCACCTAGATCACGAATCTGATATCCGTTTGTCTGGATCTGATCCTTTTTTTTTCAGCGATTCTCATGAAGAGAGTACCTGAGCCTGATACTGGGTAGTTCCATAGGCTGTCAAAAACATAACATACACAAATTATTCAGAAAATTTTCTTTCCCCTCAAACCTTGTAAA